GTTTTTTTTTTTTTTTTTTTTTTTGCAAATTTGAATGGAGGAGATGGTCGAAAGGAGGAAGAAAGAGATGGTGCAAAGAAATGTTTTTTAATTACAAAATTTAGATTTTTTTGGGGTTAATCCGAAAATATGAGAGAGTGAGGGGTCTATATACAAAAATCACATTATCTCCCACACCGGTAATGCTTATTTGTCCTTGCATTTGTAGCTTTTAGGCTAAACGGTAAGTGACATCGCGTTTTAGGCTAAACTGGTAAAAAGGTGTCACTTTTTAAGCTAATCTTGTATTTTAGCCAATTTTAATGTATACAAGTATTGCCAAAAAATAAGTTACCGTATATACGCGAAAGTTTTAAATCTTTATAGAGTATAAATCACAGGGATATTTTAAAGTGTAATTAGAAGCCACAAACGAGCTCAATGTACACTGGTGGGGTCCACAGGGACCACCGATGTCTCTCTCTCTATGGACAACCTTACGTACGTGGGGTCCATCAGTTATCAACACTCGCCGTGCGGTTACCGTGACCGCATTGACCGTAACCCGAATCAGGCTTCGGTCAAATCCCAGCTTTTCACAGTGCAGGGTAAAAAGGTTGATCACGTGACTGGATGCATCAACTGATTCAATTTTTACGCTGTTAGCTAGCATGAGTCCCGGATCCTTCTCCCTTCCCTCTTCCCCTCGCTAAAAATTCGAAACTTTTGTCCTCTCCTTGAAACGCTCCAACGAAACCCTAAACCGCCATTAGAGCTCCTCGGAGCTCTCGACGCGCTCGAGAACCAAGGCCTCCGGAGACGGCATCGCGATAAAGATAAGTTATTTCCTCTAGTTCTCGGTTCTTTCTAGGGTTTCCCGCTCTTAACGCCGTTTTTCGAAGAAACTAGGGTTTTGGTTTTGTTTGGATAAGCTCGCCCTTTTCATTTAGCTTAGAGACTTAGGGCTTTGAGAAGAAAGGGATAGATTAGGTCCTTGGGCCGAGGAAAGAACCTAGAAAACCTAGTATATACTCTGAAGCGAGACAAGTTGTGGTCAGAATGAGTGAGCCAAGGGAAAGTGATGGATCCCCGAAAGAAATGGCGGAGCATTCAGACGAAGAGAATGAGCAAATGGAAGAAGAGACCCCATCTGTGATAAGTGATCCTTTACAATATCAGAACGCTCATTTGCATGAAGAGGGTAAATTAAACAGCAATGGCTCTGTACTTGTAGAAACACCAGTGGAGCATAATCCAACAGAAAATGCTGCTGATAGTGCTCGATTACCGGAAGAATCGCAAAAGGACACCGAAATTCCTCTTCCTGATGGGAAGGATGCCGGGGAAGGGAACAAGTTAAATGAAGAAAAATTAGACGATGGGAACAAATTAGTAGAGGCGGAGGTGGAGGTGGAGGCGGATGCGGATGCGAAAGAACTTCATTCTGAAGAGAATGGGCTTGATCAGACCCCATTGAAAGAGGAAAAGAATGAAAAACTTGCTGAGGAAAAAGAGACTCGTGAGGATTACCCTGAACCTGAACATACAGAGGCCCCAGCGGAGTCTTTTAAATTTGACCCATTTCTTGAGGGAGATGATGATGGGTCAGAGGCGCTACAGGCTGCTTTTATGGTAGAGCTAGAGAATTTCCATAAAGAAAATAGCTTGGAGTTCAAGCCCCCAAAGTTCTATGGTGAAGCACTGAATTGCCTTAAGTAAGTCTGGACCATTTGTTTCAGTCTATCCGGTTTATTATGATTGTACTATTTATAAGGCTGGTAAATCCTTCTTTTCACTTTTCCTTGTGCCCAGATTGTGGAGAGCAGTTACAAGATTGGGTGGTTATGATCAGGTATTTTTGCAACTCAGTTGTTTTGATATATCTATATTCTTCTATGTAGATTGTGGACTGCATCCTACTTTTCAAAATTTCCACCCATGGTTTTATATTTTTATGGAGAACACCCTACATAGATTTTTCTACCTTAGGTGATAACAGCTACCTGTAATTCTGTTATGTATGTTGATGTTGTAATGCTAGTTGTTATTTCCGAAAGGTCTGATCGGTACTTTTTATCAATGGGATGAAAACACCTGATTTTTATTCGTAAGCATTGGTTGCTTTCCAGTGTACCCTTTTCTTGAAAATAACTAGCATGGTGTAAAAAACAAATGGAAAGTTTTTGGTGGATACCATATTTGAGGGTATAAAATTTGTTACGTTCATTCATGGGCAACTAGCAATGAGTTCAGTGGATGCAGTTTTC